ACTTCTAAGCAAGACAGAGTTCATTAGCTGGATGTGAAGCAATGGCGCAGCAGGTAGAGCGATGGACTCTGTGACACGAGGGCGTACCGACCGACATGCTTGAACTTGCTTCCTTACATATGTGCATACATAGAACATATACGTTTATTGCTCCTGTTTTTGATGCTAAGCCTTGCAAAGCCCTTGCTATATGCAGCCTTCGCTTCTAAGAGACTTCTAACATCAGAGACAGCTCTCAGATGAAGCCCAGTCCCTACTCCTTCTGACTCCGAGAGGGATGCGCCTCTGAACCAAACACTAAACACGTGATGACGAAACTCTGCCAAAACAACAACGATGTACATTTTTCTGGAATAAAGTTGGCTCCCATCTTTCGACGCATAACGACGATAATTCTATTAAAGCGGATTAGCAGCGACGGTAAGAGGCAATTCTGGACTAATTGGGATTGTTGTCAGCTCTTTGCACAAATGAACAACTGAGATCTCGTCCAGATACCCTTCCATGTCATTTCCGTCATTGAAATCTCGTATATACAACCCCTTTTTCACTACTTTTAAAGAACCTTACTTTCTTCGCAAGACGGCTAAGGAGCCTTATTTTTTGCAAAAGCGGTATCTTGAGGCCGTTTCAGTCTAGACGAACTGAGGGGCGGTATGATAAATGCGTTGAGAGGACCAGAAGAATTCAAAATCTCTGGAAAATTCTGCCGGACTTCACTGACAATATTCGAATAGCACAGCGGAATCTGCTCCTCTACATGAAAAAAAGCAAATGGTCTAGCCCTCAGAAAGATAAAAAAAAAACGATGGTTTTCCACATGTTCTACAGAAGAAATGACTTGCCTTTCATTGGTAGCCTTTACTTTCTGCACAGCCCCAAAAAGCTACTAGGCTATTTTTGAGATGTGCTGGTGTGGGCGTAGCATCGGAAATAAGGAAGGGTTGACAGCTTCGTCTTGTAAAACATTATAGTCACGCCTGCATCCTGACTGTTTTCATTCCTATCGAGAGAAAAGACTAGGATCGGCTTCTGAATCAAATGGCTTCACAACAGTTCACCGAAATCGTGACACCTAGCAGAATGAGCCAAGTGGTTTTTTTGCATTTGATGTTTTGTTAACTGCTGTTGTTTCGCGACAGTACGCGTTTCGAAAGTCTCACAATGTTGGCGATTTATAGTCAAAGCTTCAGTCTCGGACGGGACTCGAACCCGTACTTGTGCTTTCAGGGCACCGTTTCCTAACGGCTTATGAGCCATAGCTTATCAACACTCACACAAACAACGTGTTGCGCCAGTATCAGCATAGAACTGTTGAAGGCACGGTTTACGATTAAAAAGGTTACTGAGTTCTTTCTTTAGGGATTCTCAGCGCACCCCATGGGTGGTAGAAGAGACCCTTACAATCTCGGCGCTTATGGCACAGTGGAAGCTCTGTTGCCGCCGTAACTGTTTTTACCGCCCCTGGATCGATGTCACGTCAGACGAGTGTCGAGACAATACAGATTGCAACTATTCGCACGAGAACTCACACGCAATCAGCTGATAACCGAGTTATGAGGTGATGTTTTCCTCCGAATCTTTTTTCCTCTGTTATTCTTATTGCTGCCGCAATCCCTTATTTTACTCCTAGAGGCCGAAAAAGGTAAGCTACTTTCCCCTGTTACTAGAGTGTTGCTTATAAGTGAATGAATTTTTGCTTACCATAATCTGTTGTTCGCACCAAGACCCATACGCACGCAGTGAAACACATTGCATAGCTCATCCGAACGCCCCCTTCTTCTTCATTTTTCTGATCTCACTCTCGTCCAGCTAACTTTTAATGGTCTTTAAAGCCTTTTTCCACTTTGGAAATACCGATTCACGCAGTTTCTTCACCTTCATCGCACCATTTTCGATCTTGTCTTCCATTTTTCATCATGATCTTGATTACCCAAAATTATCGACCTTCAAACTGTAAGATTGACATGATGAAACTTGTTCTGACATGATGTTTTGTCAACTGCAGTTATTTCGTCGCAGTACGTGTTCCGAAAGACCACAAGGTTAGCGTCTCAAGTCTCACAGTACGGAAAGCACAAGTACGTGTTCGAGTTCCGTAAGAGATTGAAGTTTTGTTCATAAATCGCCAAACTTGTGAGACTAGTTTTGATTAAATCCACTTTGTTCCAAGCTTTCGAGGATGGGCTATAATGAATGGAAGACTCTCTTCCTATGTCTCTTACGACCAGCGAGGGAAGCAGGTAATCAATATAAGGTTCAAAAGAGTTTTGCGAGGCTCGTACATGGTTCACAAGAAACAGTACAAGTCGTACACGGGATGCAAACAATCTTGTCACGGCTACGAGTCCATCGCCTTTCCTACGACTTGTTGCTTCACATCTCACTCAGAAACTCTGCTCTGCTTACATACTTGACTAATGCATAACACATGGAGGAAATGCTTCGATAGGTTTGTTCCAAAACCGTTTTGCAGGATCAAATACGGATTTGAGATCAGGGCTCAAAAACGCACGGGTCGGTACACATCCCATGGGCACTGCCTTTTGTGTGATGGGAGTGGCGCACTATCAAATTTATTACATGGTCCCTGCATAGCGCTGTCTGGGTCAAGAAACATTGTCTAAAAGGGTACTGGCCCTGTTTGTTGCCCCTTCTTCTGGGCAATCAACCTTCTTCCGCTCGGAAAATATTAACTGGTACCAGATCTCTATGGCTGCTTTCATAGTCCGCCTGCTAGCGAGCCACCGTGCCGGCGTGCTACGAGGCAGTGCTAGGGGGAGGATGGCGGCAGACGGTCGGTCGAAGGGTTGAAAACAAGGAAGAACAAGATTCAAAACCAAATAACCAGGTGCTGGTACAAATGGTTTTTGTTCTTGTCTCTCCTTGTTCACAGCCCTTCGAGGGTGACCGACCGTCTGCCGCCCTCTTCCCCCTTCAGCACTGCCTCGTGGTACGCCGCCAGGCCGGCCGGCGGACTATGAAAGCAGCCTATGAGATGAGAAAAGCACAAATTTGTATATTGACCGACCCAGCAAATTATTGAGTTAGCCACACCCATTCGAAAGATAGGACCGCTCGAACGGAAATTGAAGACCGAGAGGTTTTCCATTGGATTTCCGAACTTCAGCAATTTTCAACAGACTAGTAGGGTGGTCAGGAGTCAGGTCAGTGAGTGGACCAGCCAAGCGAGATGGAATAATTCCTTTGTGCCAGCCGGTGAAAGTCTAGAAACTTAGAACTACAGTTTCAAGGCAGATCTAGTCCAATTAAACGGCGTACTCAAGCCGCACAGGCCACCACCTTATGAGCTGCTGTCAGCGATGTAACTCATTTGGAAGTAGAGAGTTTCTCAAAGCGCGCTGGCTACCACATAAAGCAATTTCCCCCTTGAGCTACTTACGAATGGAGGTTACGAAGTCGTGCAATTCTGAAGCACACTTACAAACTCTAGCATCCCTCTTATTTTGTAAATAGACGGAGCAGACAAAAAATAAATATCCTACTAAAAAAAGTTGTATGAAGTGGATAACCTGCAACACATTCACTGCCCAATACCATTGTGGATTTAAGAGTAGTACAATGTACATGTAAAAGAAGAATAGTATAGAGACACCATACATGTACATACCAAATATCTGAAAAGCGAAAAACTCTATTCTGTAGGAGAACAGTTTTAGCATACCACCTACCATGTCTTTAATAGTGACTTCTCTTTCCTCTTCTTCAGAGAGCACATGTGAAAGTTCAAGAACGACGGCGGAAATGGTAAGAAATAGACTGTAGAACGCACTGAGAGCACTCGAGATGCCAACACTGAATATAAGATTCTCTGCTTGTTTTTATTCCATAAAAGTTTCAATGGAGTGACTATCGTGGCAACCCCAAGAGAATTGATTCCCTCAGTGTGCGAAATAAGAAGTCTTTTCTCATTCCGACGTCCAGTCTTATATAATCTCTTCTTCTTANTTCTGTAGGAGAACAGTTTTAGCATACCACCTACCATGTCTTTAATAGTGACTTCTCTTTCCTCTTCTTCAGAGAGCACATGTGAAAGTTCAAGAACGACGGCGGAAATGGTAAGAAATAGACTGTAGAACGCACTGAGAGCACTCGAGATGCCAACACTGAATATAAGATTCTCTACTTGTTTTTATTCCATAAAAGTTTCAATGGAGTGACTATCTTGGCAACCCCAAGAGAATTGATTCCCTCAGTGTGCGAAATAAGAAGTCTTTTTCTCATTCCGACGTCCAGTCTTATATAATCTCTTCTTCTTAGAAATGGAGCAAAGATTACATTACTGGATTATTTTTACATACATACCTATTAATCTCCTTTACAGGTTCATAAGTTTGCGATGAAAGTGGCTTTTAAGAAGTCCTTAGAATAAAGGTGTGACCTCCGAAAACCTTTTTTCTTTGTACTCACACAACACTTATATTCATTCACGCGGCTAGTTTAATCACATCTTGAGTAACTTGTTCTCGATTTGAGTCAGTTACCTATAGAATAGTTTCCAATCACAACAAACAATCGCCATTCTGTACGAAAGGCATGTGTAATTTAGAGGGTGGAGTGAAATAGAGAAGGAGAGCCCGCCGCCATCCGGTTGCAGACTATATCGCAATTTTTTTTGCATAGGAGTTGCTCGTAACCGTTGAGAGTGAGCACCCCTATTGCTATAAAACTTTTACCTTCGCCCTGAGCTCTGCTTTTTCCGAAGCATCCTGTCCTCTGTCTTCACAAATTTGTTGACATGTTTCCAAAACTAGACCGACTGGTTGCCCTGTAGGTGCCCTTTTTCAGAGTTTAGGGATTAAACGGAAAAATGCGGAGGCAGCGTGAGTCGTCATTCGCACTCCAGACAGGTCAAACTCTCAATTTTGAATTCATTCTATTGTGAGTATAACGAATGCATTGACGTTTTCTCTCTGTTTTCCCTCTGGAAAGTGTGGGAAAGTAAATCCACTCTTTCTTCTACCCGTAGAAAAAAAAACCTTGTTCAGTACCCCAGTTTTGCCGAAGCAAAAAATTTTCTCCTACTCCAAACCCTTGAAGCGACTGGGACCCTTTCGCTGTTAATTAGAACTGTTTTCTGAATCTGCGAAAACCGTACTGAGAATGTAGAGAATGTCGAAGAACCGTCAAGTGGTCAAATCAAAATGTCGATATGATCTACTTGTTTGTATCGATTTGTGGCACGGCGAAACGCCTATATAGGGGTGCACCGTCGCCACTAGACTCGTATTATTTGTATCTTTTTCTTTGGGATATCTTTTCCCGCGTTGTTTTTTCTTTTTGTTTTTGTTTCGATAAAATGCTTACCCTTGTGCTCACCAGACCCACACGAACCCACAAAACCCACAAGAATTCTTACGAAACACAGCTTGTGTATCCCGCTGTTGCTCTTGATTTCTCCAATGTTTTAAGAGATAGGCAAATGGTCCTTTCTCAAGCAGCCACATGAAGAACACTATCTAGCGTGCAATTCTGCAGCTCCCCACAGTTCCGCGAATAAAGGACTGACAAGGCAGGGATAGTAGCATGTTCGGACGTCCTACCAAAATTTAAAAGTTATTAACAGCCTTAACTGGAGAGTTTATGACGAAAATTCGGAATTATGGAGTTAAGTTATGGATACCGTTACAATACGCGAAGAAGCTTGCGATCTTTTTTGTAGGAACAACGACGCGATTTCATATATTAAAATCCATAATATTCTTATCTCATTATGGAACTTCGCTATGATCCTGCAAGGGCATTCACAAAAGCATCGGCGATTTGTGAGGGATAGTACAAACAACTCAGTGGAGGAGTGTTGCTTTGCAAAAGTAATGTACTGATGTCAACATGTAACTAGTACCTTAATTAGAGTAGCGAAAGAGGTTATAGAGGTTGGCCGGTTGTGCAAGGGATTGAGACCAGTCGAAGGACACACTGCTGGCGCTTGATCTAGCGCCTAATCTGGCGGGACCTAGCGGGAGAGATTGTTAAGGTAGTAGTATTTAGGCCGCAACGTGACGAGAGTTAAGGGGTCGGGGCAGTACGCAGCGAAACAAACGCGCGGGAAAAGGTATTGGATGTGGGCCGTGAGCAGCGAGGCTGGGAGTAGGAAAACTAAGTGTGGCCGAGGAAGGCTGTCGTCTGAGCGCTCCTAGGGTCCCGCCGTCACCGAGGAGAAAAGCTGCATACTGCTCTGGCAGTAAGTGTTCAGATTTAGTTTCCTTTTTTGTATTCTAGTTGTATTTGTCGCAATTGTGTGTTTTGAGGTTTTCTTGTTGCCTCAGAAATTCAGTTATTTTATTTGATTTCTTTTAACTATTCTTGAGATAAAGAATTTTATCACCTACTTGTGCGCGGTCTATCAAACGATACGCAACCGTAAATTTCTGGCTTTCTCATTTCAACAACTTACAAACCTAACTACAGGGATATGAAACGAATTTCTAGGCTCAGGAGGTGTACTCACGCAGCGAGCCAAGTGACTGACTTCCTCTCGTAGCTGCCATTTCCATTTTTTTAAAATTGATTTGATGTGCATACCTCGAGTTCTATCTCTTGATCTCGCTAGAAGTGTTTGCGTTTTTGTCAATATATCCAATCGCGAACGCACATTGAGGAAACCGAAGGTCCCTACTTGGAAGCCGAAACAGTCTGGGTATGTATGAAGAATAAACAGTAGCCGCCGGGAACCGAACCGAATGGAGGGGAACCGAACCGAATGGGAATGTGAGAGAAATAGCCTCGGGGAATCGATCGATTGCAGGCTCCATACCATCAGGCCGTAAAGAATACGTCCAGATAGCGAGCCTATCAGGACGCTCGGAGTACGCGTGATAGTACGCTTCGAAAGACCGATAATGGAGATCAATTTTTAATGACATCAGGGTCAAAAATTATTGATGGCAAGTTGTGTACCGGATTCGAGGTTCGAGGCATCGAGGACAATATCAACGCCGAGTGAGGGCGTGTTGGTCAAGGGAGATAGACCAGTCAAACGACACCTCGAGTTTGGATTGTCGCAACGACGAAGTCATTTCGAACAAAATTGCTTCGGTCGTGAGTATCCTGCGAATAGTTGTTGAAAAGTCCGTTAAGAAGATCTGGATTTGTACCGTCACTGCTTGTTCAGATGATAGACCTAGGCAGGGTCTGAAGTAAATAAAGGCTCAAAAAGTGCAAGCAACTATTGTTAGCAGTCGCGGAGGGCTGCGTTCGGATGTAGCGTGAGCCGAAGAAGTCTCACTGTCGAAGAGGTGATGACACTCAAAATCATCGGCAAATAACTTCAATTTGAAAGGAGTCTTAGGAAGTTGAAAAGAATACGCAGAAGAATATTACCGAAGTCAAAGATGGCTCAGGCAGGGATAACATCTGAAGGCAGAACAGCTCCCGTTTCTGCTCATGGAAAAGTCGAAAAGAACTGTTATACTTACAAAAATGTTATTGCGGAAGATACATCGAGTGTAACATATGTCAGTATCATGTACTGCATGTATTGCACAATCTGTTGTCATATACCCCTAATTTACAGTATTCGCTTCTAGTGTCGTCAAAAAGTTGAAGTCAGGGTTTCACAGAATCGAAAATAAAACAGGATTTTCCACAAGCAAAGGAACAGCATGTGTCAGAGGGGACATTCCATTGGGCTTTGCCCCTATAATAATAAAGACTAGAAGCAAAAAGGATATATGTTGGCTCACGATTGTGGTGATGTATAAAAAAGAATAAGAAAAGCAAGACCGAATTTTCGACCTTCGCACAGGGAGGGAAGAGGATCCGGGTGGATTTCACGCAATGACCCCAAAAGGACTGGGACTAGGAGACACTGCGTTGCTTTCCGAGAGAAACTCGTTTATCTCTTCGTTTCGCCTCTTATTATCTATTATTGACTTGTTATTTCTCGACTCTCATGATTTGGTTCCACTTATACGGATACTGCCTTCTGCTCATGTTGCCTCTCACGCAATAGAGGGGGTCTTTGTGTAATACTGGTGTTCTGTTATTGCTGTAGTTACCCGCTTCAACTTTCTCCTTTAAGATTCTTTTCGGGCTTCCCTAACTATCCAAACTGATTTCTGAGTCGATTCTTGCAGTCTTTGGTGTTTGCTTTTTTTGTTTTTTTTTTTCAGTTTTCTTTTCACTCCTTGCCCCTCTTCCTTTATCGGCCTGGTTTTCGGTAATTATATACGCCCATGTTTTGGGTTGACATGTCATTTTGACGTATGGAAATAGATAAATAAAAGGAAGAGGAACTGTCCAGTAGAGCACTGCCTCGTTCAGTGAGCCCAGGCTGAGAGCCAAAATGACTGGCCTCGATTACATTTTCACCTTGTGGTCCCAGGGAGTACTCCTTCCCTTCAACGCTGGGCGTAAAAAGCAAGGGTATCCACAAGTTGCGGGCTATTAATGATGCTCTCTAAGCAGGATTGGTATGCCCGCACGCTATCATTTACAGTTTTGGAAAGACATAAGTCTGTGGTCGACTGAATGATCGATTCTCCCTCATCCCAGTTCTTTGCACGATAATCATAGTAATCTGACTCACCCCGTTGCTGCTACTTGCCTGAGACTATTTTGAAACAGAGAGATTTTCTTGACTCGAGGATTCCTTTACACACTATTGAAGCTTGCAACGAGGCCTCCTTCTCTGTGCTCAGCGCCTTCTGTCAAACGATCAAACGATAGGGGTGCTCCCCTCTCTCAAAAAGGCAGGATTGTTGTCAATCCGAAGAGTGTTAACTAATCCTTTTCGTCCCTCCCTCTTTTCTCTTTTTCACACATTGACGACAATCGTATGGCACTTTCATACCTGAAAATGGCCCAGATAGGTCGCTATAAAGGATCAAAGATTATAGAAAATTCACCGGCATTGTAGAGGCTGCGCCAATCGATAAGACAGCAATGTGGGGAGATTGAACAACTTGACATGATCCATACTGACAGTGGAATGTAGTTTTGTTCAGTTCTACCTTGACGTACTCAATTCTTTGCACAATTGCAACAACTGA